TATCTGAGGTAGCATGATTGTGTTATATGTTGATCTCCTTGTACGACGTCGATCCTTGTTGGGGTTGGAAATTTGAGCTTCAAATGTAGCACATATGTTACGATGCCAAAGATGGATTGCAGAGGTCTCTCAAAGATGACATTGTATGTTGATTCTGACTTGACAACATTGAACCGGATTGAGCGAGTTATCTGTCGATGAAAATCTCCCATTATAACAGGGAGATTTATTATTCCCTCAACCCTTACTGGTCGATTATCAAAACCATATAATGACCCAGGCATAGGTATAAGTCTTTCTCTTGTCAGTCATAAACTAAGGAAAGTGGAGTAGAACAAAACATCAACAGAACTCCCATTGTCGATCAAGATTCTCTTTACATTGCAGCAGGGTTCGTCAATTCTTGCGCTAATGACAAGAGGATCTTAGTGGGGTACTCAGACTCCTAAATTTGAATCATCAAAAGTGATAGGTGCAAGGCGTAATTTCTTCTATGTTGGTTCACCAGGTGTAGTGACAAGAACTTGATTAGTCAGCAATGAGCCTCCTGCAACTGTCTGAATTTTGCCCATGACTGGGTGATCCTCATGTAACAGCCTTTGTGTTTGTTGTCCCCCCAGTAGAAGCATTATCGCTACCAGCTAGTTTGTTTTGTATAAATAGACCAATATATCCCTGTTAAATCAACATTTCAATTTCTTCTCTAAGGAGCTTACATGCATCAGTGGTGTGGCCACGACTTCGATGAAAACGACGGTATTGTTCTTGAATTCCCGAGTTAGGTTTTAGGGGGTGAGGCCACTTTCAGCTTTCTCATCTTTGATGGCCATCAAGATGTTAGCACTCGACATGTTGAGCTGTGTATACTCTTTCTTGGGTCAACATTCAGTTTGTTGGCCTGCAGGTTGGAGGAGGAGATCACGATTCTTTGGTTGTTCCGACTTTCTCTGTCATGAAGATTGATTATTATCTTTAGAGTTATTTTTGCGCTTTCTCCCAAATTTCTCAAATTGCTCCTTATGTGCATTGATGGCCTCATCTGCGATGATTTGGGCCTCAAAACAATGGACATGGTCAACATAAAAATGAACTGTCTCCCGCATCAGTGATAAGTAGAAAGGTCCTATGCGGAGCCCCCCAAGGAAGACCCCTCTTAGTAACTCTGGATCAACCTCTGAAATTTGACGAGCTTCAGCAGAAAACATACGGAAGTATTCCTTGAGTGACTCTCATTCACTTTGACAAATTCCAGACAAATGGGATGAATCTTTGATGATTTGTCAATTTGCAATGAATTGCTAAACAAACAGTCTTGTAAGCTTGTTAAAGGTGTTTGCAGTGCCCCCTGGTAGAGAGTAGAACCAGGTTTGAGCTTTTCTCTTAAGAGTGGCACCTGGCATAAAAGCACATCAGATGCACGTTGAATGTGCATGATGGTTCGATAGTGATTAATATGTTCATTAGGATCAGTTATCCCTTCATATGTGTTGATGTTCGGAAGCTTGAAGTCTGTTGGGATAGGGTGTTAGATGACCTCATTTGTTAAGGGATAGGATTCATGGATGTTATGATGACTGTGGAAGAAATCTTTTTTCTGTAGCGGGAACTCTTCCAAGACGAGGCGTCGTAGTTATCTATGAAAGACATCATCTGGAATGACACCAAGATGTGGTGGTGCCAGACGAGCTGCATGAGATAGATGAGTAGAACTTGCGGTGCCCAGAAGTTCTGTGTCACGACCTGACAGGGGAAATGTTCTCTCTTGAGGAGGTGGACAATTACAAGTTCCTCCAAGCAGTATGTTTTTTGTATGCCACATATTTAATAGTAAAATAATTTCATTCATCGGTGTGGACAATGACTGTTGAGTCCCCGCAGGAGTTGCAGGATCTCTAGTTGAGACTCCTCCTTTCTGCACATTCGGTCTTCCATATAAGGACTTGAAACACCCTCGTTGGCGGGATAACATCTTCCAGGGTGAGAAGATGAAGAAGTATGTCGCCCTTGACTTCGTGATTGTTCCCTAGAATGATGGATGTTAGAGTAAGCAACTTTTTTGTCCCGAATATTGTGTCTGGTGGCCATGTAACAAATCGAGCAAGTAACTTCAGTGGTGGGATTGAGAATTTCCCACAGACGGCGCCAAACTGATGCATGCTGGAAAATTCACGATGGTAGACTAACAGATTATTGTCTTAGCGTTGTACAAGAATTCAACACACACACACAAATGAAAGAGAAATAAATAGTGACGACTCTAAAAATTTTTACGTAGAAAACCCGTAAAGGGAAAAACCACTGGGTCTGACCCAGTTGCGAAAATTCACTATTGATTGATGATTACAAAAATCGCCTATCCCATAGACGGGAGAATGTAACTATATTTTTCAGATTACAGTTTTAATTGACAGTGTCTGGTTGGTGGTTATCAATGGTGGTTAACAGTGGTCGATAACGGTTGGTGGAGGTCAACGGAGGTCAGCGATGTTTGACGATGGTCGATGGTGATCAACGACGATAGACGTCAATCAACGGAGGTCAGCAGAGGTCGTCGGCAGTCGGCGGTTGGCTGAGCTGCAACTTCTCCTCAAGACCTCATACTCTTTATAGGCTTCGGGTTTTTTTTTTCATGAGAGGGATGAAACTCTATTTATTGTGTTATGGGTGCAATTAATGCAGGAATATGAACCATTTTGATCGGATGGTCTGGAGAGCTTCACTCGATCATACCACGTTTAATGCACATATGAGTGCCTTAATAATGTTAGAATTGAGTGATTTTGGGCTTGTTAGATTCATCTTGTCGAGATGCTTAATTCGGGTATAAAGTTTCCATATTCAACAAACGTTTGACCTTTCAAATGTGTCCGAAAATCTTCTATGTATAGTTCAATGACTTGATATGAGGTTGATTTGACTCGGATTGGATTAGTTTTCATATCATTAGGTCCGTCTCATCGAGCCGGTCAGTTTGACTATAAGTTTGCTGAAATCAGAGCTTTGGATGACTTTTTATCAAGATTTTAATGTTTCATATTTAAAATATTGCCTTGAGATTCGTGTCATGCATGCATTGAGATTCGTGTCAAATGATGAAAATTTGTTGATGGCGTATCAATGCTCCTAATAAAATATTATAGTGGGGTCATATTTGAATTTAGCTCATGAAGCACTGTCTTAAAAAGCAACCAAGTAAAGATTAATTGAATATAATTGATATTTCATGGTCAATATGATCTATTTAGAGTGTGTGTTATGCTATTTTTATGATTAACTTGTATAAGCGCTCAGATAGTCCTTTTCAATTCTCCGGCTACCAACTCAGCTCCTATATTTAATAGAAAGATTGAATTTAACAATTATATGTGCCCAAGGAAAGAGTTTCGATGAATTAAAATTTTAAATTTCCATATGAAAAAACAGCAATTGTCCATATGAAAAAACCCAATTCTAATAAATTATTTAATTTTTGATATTTTTTGGAATAAACTTGAATTCCTACTCTCAATTCAAAAGCTAATGCTGTGATGTTTTTGTTTCAGCTGTGATTATATGAAATCTCAATTTAAAAGCTACTGAAAAATTCATATATTTTATAAATGCATGTAATTCTCATATTTAACTTTAGTATATTAAACAAATAGAAATAGGAATACAAACATAAACTCAAGGTTAGATTATATAGTCAAGAGAGGGGTAAATTTAAAGGTAACATTTTTCTAAAATTTATTCACTTAAATATAGGTGTGCATGAAAGTGAACATTAAAGGTTATGTGTTAGATACAGTAGGAATTAGATTGTATTTATACAATAAAAAGCCATTACAAATTTAATAAAACCAATTGATTAATATTATTTTATATTTTAGTTTATTTTTAAGCATTCACTTATTTTTAAGCTCATTAGACAGTTTGGTCACATTAAACGTCGACAATCTGATGATCCGATTAGGAGAATAGATGTTTTAGATTTGACTTATGTTAGGAAAGACGGAGGTAGATCTAGGAAGACTTTGACTTATTGGATAAAAAATGATGTTAATTTATTAGAACTAAATGAAAATATGAAACTAAATATGACTCAATGGAGAAAAAAGATTCATGTGGCCGACTCCATGTGGTGAGATTAAGGCTTTGTTGTTGTTGTTCTTATATTTGTTTATATTATAGTCAATTATAGTATAATAAAATTCAATAAATGATTAAACACATTAATAAAAAACTCAATAAAACATCGTGACATATTATGATCCATTATTGTAAAAAGTTTATGTTTATGATATAAAAATAAATATATTAGAAATAAAGAACACGTCACAACATGGATTCATCATGCAATCCCTAAAGGAGGCAGAGAATTGGGCAAAACAGGAAAAATGACATGACAGGCAGGAGGCCGAATGTAGGCTGCCAGAGCTGTCACAATCTTAATTGAAATCAACACCGCTTCATTTAGAGCAGCTTATCCGCTGCGATTGTGGTGAAATTTTGAGAACACATCTTATCATTTGAAAAATACGTTTCAACAACTGATCCAAAAATATAGTTAGTTTTTTACACTAAACATGAAACGCAGGTCGAATCTCGCGGCCCGTATTTCCAGATAAACGGCTTATTTGGATAAGCACAAGCTATCGTGAACACACCCACACAATCCACAGAAGCACATAACAAACATACTCTTTGCAGACAAATAGTAAAAAAATTTGCTCACTTAAAAATAGCAAAGGATTTAACCGGTTAATTTAAGCGATGACTTATAAGCTAAAAATCCTATAAATATGTAAATAAATAAATAACAAAAGCAAATTTCAAAGCAAGAATTCAAGGATTAACAATCTTCTCGAATCATTTATGTATGTCTTTGTATTGTCCAGTATCTTTCCAAGCAATCTTGGAAAAACAATAAATTTATCTAAACAGCAAATATATAAAAAAAATTAGTAATTTAGTAATAAAATTAATTTCATATGAAAATAAATCATCTCAATTAGGAGCACATGAGTAATTATTGATTACTCAATCTGACCAAAGAAAAAAAAAAATACACATATTATATTCATATAATCAATTACATGATTCATTATTCTCATTATGCCAGATTCTGGAAAAAGATCACTTCTGCTCGCTGAAGCGAAGGATGCCATGGACATCAACAATGCCCGGAGGGAAAACCTGATCTGTTGCAGCTCTTACAGCAACTTTTGCTACAGCTGTTGCGCTTACTGGTGGAGTGAGGAGAGGGCCAACAATTGGGACCTTATTGAGTGGCTTCGCATGTTGGAGGATCTGCAGCATATCAAATATAATTAAACTGAAAACCAAAAAAATAGGAGAATTGAAAAAGTATTTCAAACAAAGGGTAAAAATGGTGATTCAATTTGAGTTATCTCAATTTCAAAGTTCAAAAGTGAAGTTGGAGGCTTTAACCATCATAAAATAGAGCATGTGATGTGAAATTTTGTTGACCAGATTAAGTAAAAATGCAAACTATGAAAACATGTTTCTAGAGATTAAAAAGAGACAAAAAAAGGAAGTTTTTTTTTCCATTAAAATAAGAGAATATAATGCATGAAATACTAACTAAATTTTTTAAGTTTAAAATATGCATATTTATACATACATACCACACAATTCTTGTGCATTTACATATCTAAAACCCAAACATTATTACTATTTAAATGCATAGCACCAAAATTCTTAAAATCATGAAAAATATCACTATTACTTGCATTTTAAAATTTTAAAAGTGAAATGCATAGTTTCATGCATAAATTTATGGCACCAAAATATTAGAAATGTAAATATGAAAGTTTAGGTGTCAGATATGTACATACATGAGATTTGTGATGTTTCCCATAATATGTTTGTATAAAATATAAGTATAATACATGAATTTGCTATGGGTTATACCATTTCAAGTGGAGAGCCGATAACCCCTAAGGGTATCTTCATGCCCCCAATTTGGCGAGTCCCATATATGAATCCTGGCCTAAGAATCACACCTGCAAAAAAGAAGTTCATTTATCAGATAGATGACTCCGTTAGCCTAGAAAGAAAATCGGGTATATCACAACTTGTGCATGTGAACACAATGAAGATTCAGATGGAAAAGGACGCTTGGCCATGGAATGAGAAGAAACAAAAGATTATTAATGAAACAATAAGTGCTCTTAAAAGTTTACAGTAGTTAAATACTACAAAGATTCACAAAAAGCGCTCTTTAAGAGGTCATAGAAGTTAAATACTACCAAGGTTCACAATGACTAAGAAACTTATATGTCTAGAAAAGAAAATGGTGAGAAAAATAAAATTATGATTTTTTAAGATTTATTTAACATGCTTGATACTTGGAAACAAAAAAAGAAAAGATGAAAAGAAAACAAATAGATAGAATAAGAAATGAGAGATCAAAAAATTTTATTCAAGTTAGATGTATCATATGCGATGATAATAAATTTGTAGTTAAAGAGAAAAATATCATAAAAAAATGAAAATACTTCAAAAATTAATGAATGGGAGTTTTAAAGAGAAGATTTTTTTGTAAAAGAAATGTAATGAAAAATTGAGGTATTTAAGAGATTTATTCCAAAGAAATAGTAAAGTGGAGTATGCACTAATTAAAAAATGCATAAAAAAAGACAGATTCAAATAAAATACTCTAGAGATTTAGACATATAAATGATATCGTAGTGGTCAAGTTAAAATTATTTTAGTGAAATTTTAAAGACAAATGATGTTAAATGATTGGATAATCATTTGGTAACGATATAGAATAACTAAAGTATTGTAAGATGTCAAATAGACAATGAAACAATGGGAGAGGAAAACGGATGAAATTGGGATTCATAAAGTAGTCCCCACAAGGTCAGAACAAGGAAAGCGACTATGATTTTTTTCAGATAATGCTGTGAAAATGTCATCTAAAATGTAGACTAAAAGAAAGCAATGTAATCACAATATAGTGAAGCCTCAATCAGTACTGATGCATGCGGATACAAGAATTATTGAAGTTCAAATGAAAATGAAAATGCTCCAGTCTCCACAATCACCATGCTACTTATTACTAAACAGTAAAACAATATATCAATCTTACGGAGGAAATACGTGCAACATCATCCCCCACCCCCTCTACACTCATAAGGAAAAAAAAAAAAAAAAAATATATATATATATATATATAGAAATCATCCATGACGCTTACTGCTGCATATACATTTAACCATTTGGTCTAATGCAATTAATCCACCAAATCTATTGGTACAATTCCTATATTTTTTATTTTACCATGCTTTATAAACAGGAAAAAGACTTTAGACTGACAGATGGATGGATGGAATTTTTTATTTTACCATGCTTTATAAACAGGAAAAAGACTTTAGACTGACAGATGGATGGATGGAGATACATACATATAAACATGCATATAGACAGATAGACATACATGCATACAATGAACCACTGAAACTTTCTAGAAAAGGCCAATCTTTCAAGTTTCGACCAGCAAATTTGAGGACCACACAGCATCACTCCATTACCATAGTTCTTCAACAACAAGATTACTTGGACTATGGTTATGTGAGTTCAACTATCTGTTCTCAAAGGTCTTTCTTTAGTTTAAATAGAAAATGACTTGCAAATCAACTGAACCCAATTACCTCTTTCCCACTTGCTACATTTTTCAGTTTCTCATATACATAATCAGTCTTTTTCTATTATCATTCACACATTCACTTGGGAATCTCCATAAAATATGGTGACCCCCATAAGTTTGTTATCATCAGAAAGAAATGTATAAGAAAAACAATTTTAATATTTTATCTTACAAATTTTCTCAAAAATATGCGAGGACAGAGTGAGAGCGAGGGGAGAGACGGAGTGTAGTTTGAGTAGAGACACAGTTTTTTGGAATAAATGGACCCAACACAATGTAAAAACAGAAAAGAACTTGATAAACATTTCAGGGCAAGTATGTCATTACATAGAGCTTTGGTTTCTCGAGAAAACTTTTCACAAGATTTGGAAATAATATGCAACTTTCTATAACAAAAAGGAACTCCATTTCTCAAAATAAAAAGGGTCAATTTGCATAACATCAAAAGTATAAGAAATTTGCTTATCATAAAGAAAAAGTAAAAAAACATGAAGTCAATCATGAAGGGGTCGTTTCGGATCACTCTTGATTTTTGTTTTTTGTTTTTTAATTTTATTATCTTTGTTTATGTTTTGATTTAAAACAAAATATATTTGGCATGATATAACATGTTATGTTGTATTTCAAAGCACTCAAAATCACTTCTAGATGTTTTAAGTGTTTTTAAAAATGAAAAAAAAAAACATACAAAAAATACACTAAACAAATAAACAAACATATTTTTAAAACAAAACAAAACCAAAAATAAAAAACAAAAACAAAAGTGATGCAAAACAAGCACTAAACTACAGCACTACCAAGAACTCATTATTTTAGTTTCAAGGAGCATATGCTCAAACCATTAGGTACATTTATAGTTCAAAATATAAAGGCAAACATCCTTGAGTCATCATTTATGGATTAGCTAAGTTTAGATCAAGTAAACGGACCTCCATAAGTAAATTTTGATAATAGTTCCGCTTCAGCAGCTCTCTGCATCATTTATAAACAAATATTGTTATAAAATGCAATTACGGTAGAAAATCATGCGCAAAAGATTTAATTTAATATAGCACAACAACCAAATAATATCTTCAAGAAAACATGTAAGGAAAGCAAAAAGTTGAGATCCTTAGTTCACGGTCAACATTCACTTCTTTACTACATGCCATTGTCCCCTCCCTTCCTCAAAGACTCAAATAGATAATTAATATTTTCTACCTAAACAACTAAAAGGTCATTTCCAAGATCCTTGAAACAAAAATATTTTTTAAAGGTGATCAAATCATTTCCTAAGAGAACATCATATAACTTATTAAAGCCGTCTTTAGTACATGATGCACAACATCTTAGGGTCTAATTCATTTTAAATGTATTTGAATTTCATTGAATTTGAAAAAAATTCAAATACACATATGCATGTAAAGTGTTGCTTGCTACCAAAGCCCGCAGCCAGCTGCCACAGTCTGGCGACAGCAGCCTCCACTCACTGTCTGCCACTAGTTACCATCCACCACCTCCTCCCTCTGTAGCCCACCACCACCTCCCCCACTATAGTTGCATGCCCACCGCAGGCCACCGCCGCCCGTTGCATGCATGCGGCCGCCAATGCTCGTTGCCTGCATGTGGTTGCCCGCAATTGTCATTGCCTCCTGTTCCCCGCCCATTGTTGCCAACAACCACTCCCACGCCACTAGCAAACATACAACCTTCACTGACCCTCAGTCATCACCAAAGTTGAAAGACTATCGCCAGTCGAGTACCGCCACCGCCTCCTACCATAGACTGTCGCTTGCTATTCACTGTTGCCCGTCGGCCAAGTATTTTATATTCATTTCATTTTTCTACAAACTTAAAAAAATATGTGGAGTTCTACATTCATTTTACATATAACCAAGCAACATCTTAAAGTATTTAACGTAATAAGTATTACCTAGTATATATATGTTAAAACCTAATCACTTGAGCTTATTCTTTCTCATTTATCATCCGAACAGATAACTAAAAGTAGGGTGTGAGGTTAAGGCCATAAAGGGAGGCAGGGGAAGGAAATTGAAAGCTTAGCTTTGAAGTGATTCTTTTAATTTTTCATAATTCTTTTAGCATATCTATCTTAGCTTGAAATTGGTAGATGTTAGAGCTTTAAAAAGAGAAATCATTTTGAGGTCAAAGGATATTGTTGAGGTTGTTGTTGATTATATAGTAAGTTAGTAAGTTAGAAAATTATTAAGATATGAGAAATCTATATTTCTTAGATGTGTATAAATGATCAATGTTTCATGGTCAGCAATGTGAGAAAACTCGTCTGCTTTCCTATCTTCAATTCATATAATATAATCTCTGCACTAAGGAGCAAAAACATCCTAGTCATAGGTACATAAATTCTTATAACTATTTCAAACTTGCAAGTACTTAATGTAATAGATAGTTCTTCATATTGCAAGAATATATACTAATGTCCACCCATTCATAATTAAAATTATCACATATAATTATATATTATGCAAAGCATTTGCTTAAATTATTATAAGCATGCTATTATTTTATTAATATTTATATATATATATATATTAAAAATAAAATAAATTGCAATTATAAGTTATAATAAAATGTTTGCATAATTTTCGCCATTTGGGACACACACTCAACAAAACTTTATTTCCTAATTTTGAATATTTACTAATAAAAGTTCTCTTAGGATCGTGTAAATACTAATAAAATGTCATAATATGAAATATAACTATCTCCAATTCTAATCATTGTACATCTTAAGCTCTTTTTCATAGCATTTCCATAAGCTGCATCCTTCATTGCTATGTTGCCTAAACAATTGATATAATTCTCTTTCTTCCGTTACCATATATTTTTTATAATTGTAGCCAACTTTGCTAATTTGTTTTTTATTAATGTAGCTAACTTTGCTAATTTGTTACAACTCAACAAATAATTTTCATTGGTATAGCCTTCATCATGGAATGAGTGTATTGATTTCCTTCTCTATCTTTTTATGAAAATAATCACAATTTCTCTCAATGGATAACAATATTAATATCCACATACTATTAGGTTGAGTTCTCATGCAATTAAGGAATGCAATCTAAATCAAATGAAAGTTACAAAAACATCCCTTCATTATACTAGTGTAGTGAAAATAAACTATCAAAAGTGATCAATATTGGTTTGTACGTTCTTAAATGTAAAAAAAATTGAGCCATTTACAAGACATAAAAAGACAAAAAGCTTACTAGGAACTCCTGAAAAATATTTATAATAGATATTTTGGTACATTATCACCAAAGGATTATCATGAGTAGTCATTCAAGAATTATCAGGCCAGCATTAACACAGAACACATCCATTCTTTCAATAGAAACAACGAAAAATAGTTGCTTCAATTCAACCAGCTGAGACCCACACTCACCAAGGCTTCTGGCATCATTCCTTCCTCTTTGCAGATACTGCATTAATCAATGGGTTCCTTATTGCACACTCATCATCTATGAACAATTATAAGCATTCTGCAATTATTATTTTGTTTAATTATTAATTAGTGAATTATTGTAATTATTCTGTATTAATACTCTGTGATTTTATATGATTTATTAAAATCTCTACTAGGATTGTATGAGAATTGCAAAATGTTGAAATAAGAAAGAACAAAACTCATCAATTCTGTCCCATTCTTGTTAATTATATTTTGAAGCATATTTGCGATAAATAATGTTTGTATTTAAATATTCAATGATAAAAGATGTCGTGAAGTTAAAAAAGGTCATCATGTAGGGTAGGTAGATAATGTAATATTATGAGCAATACAAGAAGATGAAATAAGCTTCTATGAGAGAAAATTTATTCCCAACCTCTTGACATTGATTGGTTGGATAAATAAAAAATGTTAATTGTGAGTTAAATCTGGGCCCTGTTGAACTTTACAATGTTAAATGACAGGAGTGACAGCCTTAAAATAATTAGTTGTTTGAATCTGAAACTACCCACTATCTTATGACAGTCAATGAAGCCAGATATTCAGGCATAACATATTCTAACGCTATGATATCATAAAAAATGAAATTAGTAAATAAGGTTATGATGTGACAGACAGAATAATCGCAAGTACACTTAACTAACATTGCGCATATGATAATAACACACTTAACAATTATATGAGCCGTGTATTCAGATAAGTTGGTTGGGCATCTGCTTGTCAGTTGTAAGTCCCCTCTGGTCTGAGGTTCGATTCCCTCCGAGTGTAGGTATGGTACTCGAATTATTAGGCGCATGAGGGACGACTGGGGCACGTATAATAGCCTTCGACCATTCCTTTAAATATATGTATGTATATATATATATACATACATATATTTAAAGGAATGGTCGAAGGCTATTATACGTGCCCCAGTCGTCCCTCATGCGCCTAATAATTCGAGTACCATACCTACACTCGGAGGGAATCGAACCTCAGACCAGAGGGGACTTACAACTGACAAGCAGATGCCCAACCAACTTATATGTATGTATGTATATATATATATATATATATGTATGTATGTATATATGTATATGTATGTATATATATATGTATGTATATAATGGACAATGCGGGCGCTCTGCTAGGGTTTGGAGCTAAGGGCAATCACGCAGCGATTTGGGGATGCTGATGGCGTGGTCTCCTTCTCGACGGCCTTTCTTTGGTGAGATCTTTCTTGCTTTATGGTTTTGACTTCTCCCTCGCTCTTGGTTTCTTCTCTCGACTTCTCTTTTTCTCTACGGGTTTTGCCAAATGGCAAAGACGTATGCCAGGGTCATTGTGGTGGTTTCTTCCTCTGGGTTTCCTCTGAAGTTTGCTTTTCCGTCTTCTTTTCACGAATCACTTGTTCTCAGTGGGGAATACAGTTTCATTAAATATCAGGGACGTAAGGGGGAGAAGTGTTCGCTTTTTCTCTCTGATTCTGAAAACTCTATTCTCGCTCTGCTTATCGTTTCCATCTTGTTGGTAAGTTCTTTCATGGGCTTCCGAAATATGATTTTTTGATGAAGAACTTTTATCTTTTGAAATTATCGGGGGGTTGGAACATTGGAGCTCTGGACAACCGGCATATTCTGATCCAACTCTCTAACGAGGATGATTATGCTAAGTTTTTTGCACGTATAACTATTCATTTTGGTGATATTTGGATTAAGGTCCTTAAATGGACAACGGAGTTTGACCCTAAGACCGAGCTTCCTATTATTCCTGTCTGGCTTAGACTTCCAGGTCTGAAGGTGCATTTGTTCAATCACGACGAAATTTTGTTTATAGAATCACGAAATTTTGTTTTCTATAGCTGCTATGTATGGTAAACCTTTAATGCCCTTTAATTTAACAAGTAATTTAACAAGACCCTCAATGACTAGAATTTTAAAAGAGCGGGATGTTACCTTACCTTCTTCGGAGGAGGTTTGTGTTGAATCTAGTCATACTGGTTATTAGCAACAGATTTTGCTTGAAAAACATCCTCACTACTGTTTGCATTGTAGCATGTTTGGTCATGATTCTGATAATTGTTTCCATTTGCACCCCGAATTGAGGAAATTCCCTGCTGGTCGTGTGGCCTCTGCTGAGCAGAAATCTGCTCTTCGAACTAACATCTCTGAACCGGTTATTCAGTCTGTTGATGCCTGCGTGGGTCCTGTTGATCTGGTTGCTCCCTGTTTGGAGGCAACTAGTGTGGCTCATCCCGTGGAAGTAGCAGCTGATGCAACTTGTGTGGGTCCTGTTAGAACTGATGAAAATGTTGAACCTATTTATACACCTGAACCAAAACCCGAGCCACATCCCACTCAGATACCTACTGTTTCACTTAATCAAATTGAGGCACTTGATCCCCCACAAGCAATCACTCATCCTTCTACTTCTGTGGTTACTCCATCACAGTCGGATCAATCCTCTTTAGCTGCCTCTGCTTTAGAATCTGAATGGCAAATTAAAAAATATAGTAGGAAAAGAGGGAGAA